ATATTTCCACGTAGAAAAAACAACACCAGCTCCTGAAGGCTCCTCTATTTTTAGCCTAAATATATACAAAAAAGAAGATATATTTATATGCAAAGGAGATAATATAAAACCCGTACCCACATATTACTTACTTATGTCTCACCCTTTTTCACTATAAAATATAAAACACTGGAGAAAAAATAAGATAGAAAAATATATTCACTTAATATTTCTTATTTTTAGCAGCGGCTGAGAATCAAGGGGACGTGACAGGACACTTTCTTCAGGAGTGGTAAATTAGTTTATTTTTTTTTTTTTGTATCTTAAGTCAGAACCAGATAGGAGATTGTTGTTATGTTAGAGTCTCAGTGTTGTTCTCTGACGTCATTAGTGAGCTGAGAGAGAGGATGAGTCATTGGATGGTTGTTATAAGTACAGTCAAGGAGATGTGTACTTGAATATATGTAGAAAAACGTAGACTCACACACACACACACACACACACACACACACACACACACACACACACACACACACACACACACACACAAAACTCCAATTTAAAATGCAATTACTACATTCCAGTTGAATTCCGTCTTGAATAAATTTCTACTTTGATCCTCACTCGTAAACCTAAACTCGACTGTAATAATGGTAGTAGTAATAATATAAAATATATAAATAATAGTTGTGATAATAATAGTACTGATAATAGAAATATAATGACACTACTACTACTACTTTTTTTAATGGCCTCCAGCCTCTCCCAGTAAACATCATAAATATTTACGTTTGAAAAAATAACATTTCCATTAAAGGGTGTTGTTGTTGTTGTTGTTGGTTTTGTTGTTATTATTATTGTTATTGCTGTTGTTGTTGTTATTATTATTATTATTGTTGTTGTTGTCATTTGTTCTTTTGGTGCTTCAATGACCAGAGTCTTTAAACCCTTCATTATTGGACGTCACTTTTAATATCTCAAAACTGACAGTGACATTCTTTACTTATGTCATAGTTATTCAGTTTTCTTTTACTTTGCCAATTTGTTCAATGTTATCTTATGTTCGCTATAGTTTCTGCAATTCGCATAATTCACTCTAGTACTATTTTCTTCCGCTATAGTTATAAATAATTCGCAAAGCTCACGCAAGGAACCATATTTACTAATTTCTTGTTTTCATTCACAAATTCACACGACAACATTCTTACATAGTCGAGTCTCTCTTAATTCGCATACTTAACTTAGTCTTAATTCACCAAAACAAATCAAAGTCAGAATCACGCGAAATACGACCTTTTGCATAGTCTAGATATACGACCTTTGCATAGTGTGTGATACTTTTATCTAACAAATTTTTCCTTTCACACGTGCGTAGGTCTAGTGGATGCGGCCAGCGGTGCCACACCCTTGAGTAATGACCTCTATTACTGGTGCTGAATATTGCATCATGCGCCCCGGTAACATAGCGCCAGGGTTCGGCCATAAATCCTGAGTCCGGGGAAAAAAGTTGTCATTTAACGAAAAAAGATGGTGAGACGCGATGGAGATTATCAGTGTGTGTGTGTGTGTGTGTGTGTGTGTGTGTGTGTGTGTGTGTGTGTGTGTGTAGAAAAGGGAACATAATTAAATTTTTGTATGGCAGACAGACAGACAGACAGACAGACATATAAATGAATATAGAGAAAAGTTATTTCCCTTTTTAGAGAAAGGGAGAGATACACACAAAGAAAATTTTTAAAAATAAAGAAAGAGAAACAGAGAAAGAGAACGTCAGAAAGACAAATGGATAAAATAAATTGATTTAGAGGGAACGTTGGAGAAAGATAGAGAGATATAAAGATATACACGGAGATATATAGACAGAGAGACAGGGGGACATGTACTCAGAGGGTGTAGGAGGGAGAGAGACAGATGGAAAGAGAGACAGACAGATTGAGAGAGAAGCAGCGCAGACAGATAGAGAAATACAGATGGACAGACCGAAGAGAGAGAGAGAGAGGGAGAGAGAGAGAGAGAGAGAGAGAGAGAGAGAGAGAGACTGTGGTCAGGCTAAATTTCTCATTACAGGCTATAGGCCAAAGTCGGGACGTAATGGGGGTTTTGTAAATAAACCTACGTAATTGGCTTTTATCTATCTATCTATCTATCTATCTATCTATCTATCTATCTATCTATCTGTCTATTAATCTATCTATCTATCTATCTATCTATCTATCTATCTAACTTTCTATCTATCTATCTATCTATCAGTTACCTTTACTTCTCTAGTACTAAGAAGGAAGAAAATTTATAATGAAGAAGAAAACAAAAAAAGTTTGAGACAATATGAAGGAATATACATTCTTTTTTGTTTTACCTCTGAAGTATCTAAAGAAAATTGACCCTATTTTGTTCATAATTACTTTAACCATTAGAGCTGTGAAATTGGCTTCCATATTTTAGACTTCCTTTTTTTAACCGAGAGCACCACGAAATTGGGTCCTATTATAAGGATAAAGCTTTGTCGATAGAGCTGTGTAATTGAGTAAGCGAATTGGGAAATCGGTTTTTGGATAACTCCCGAAACGGCGTGGTGATGCGTTTTGATCTTGTGTGATGTGCTGTTCCGAGGCCAAATTTGTGTGTGTGTGTGTGTGTGTGTGTGTGTGTGTGTGTGTGTGTGTGTGTGTGTGTGTGTGTGTGTGTGTGTGTGTGTGCGTGTGTGTGTGTAGGCCATCATACAGAGTGGGTCATTTTGTGTGTACGTCCACCACAATTAACTCCTGTCGGATTAAAATGTCGTCAGTGTAGGCAGGAGGCTGGTGAACGTTTGTGTGGAAATGAATGTGGTTAAGTGTATTGTTTTATGGTGGAGGGATACGCCAGGCGCTGTTGGTTACTTGCACTGGCGTTTGTTTTCATGGTACAGGACTTTTACTCATTGACACAAACGATAATTTAAGTAATTTGTATAGATACGTATATAGGGAATAAAACCTCCAGAGTGTGTTATCAAATACAAACTTAAACTGAAGTGCATTCATGTTATATCATTATACATTCATCAACACCTAATAACAAACTCGTGTGTGTTTATGTTGTATATATGACTCACTAAATACTAATTCACCCACACTGCACTCCCACACAGGCTGAGTATAATCCTCATGTGAAATTTACATATCTCTGCTGACCCTTAGTGAAACACGCTTAGCATTCAATATCAAAGTGTGAGTCGTATTATCATTTAGATTAAATTCATAGTGAGGGAACCATTATCTCTTCTGTGTACTTTCACTTCACACCTGTACTTAAAACTATGCAAATCGTCTCTATAGGATTTCGTCTTTATTTTCGTCTGCTGCTCGCCTCAACCCCCCCCCCCGCCAGGCGATGGACCGTAAGCCTGGCTAAGAGAGAAGTCGTTAGTTAGCGAAGGGGAGGTGCATGATCCTGTGTTAAGGTGAAGGGGCTTCCCTTTGTTAGCGAAGGGAAGTTCATGACCCTGTATTAAGGTGAAGGGGCTGCCCTTTGTTAGCGAAGGGAGGTTCATGACCCTGTATTAAAGTGAAGGGGCTGCCCTTTGTTAGCGAAGGGAGGTGCATGACCCTGTATTAAGGTGAAGGGGCTGCCCTTAGTTAGCAAGGGAAGATGCATGACCCTGTATTAAGGTGAAGGGGCTGCCCTTTGTTAGCGAAGGGAGGTGCATGACCCCGTATTAAGGTGAAGGGGCTGCCCTTTGTTAGCGAAGGGAGGTGCATGACCCTGTATTAAGGTGAAGGGGCTGCCCTTAGTTAGCAAGGGAAGATGCATGACCCTGTATTAGGGTGTAGGAGCTGCCCTTAGTTAGCAAGGGAGGTGCATGACCCTGTATTAAGGTGTAGGAGCTGCCACCAAAAAACAACTACACCCTGAGTTAGTGATCTGTGTACGGTAACTCAATATCAAACTGCCACCAACACAACAACTACACCCGGAGTTAGCGAGGCCAGCTGCTGTGTTAACTCAGTGTCAAGAGAGAGCCCAGGAAGACCGGAGAACTCACAAACTGCACGAGCTAACCATTATCCAGGAACACGATCCGCTAATCAGTTTACATCCAGGTTCCCAATTACTGCTGAGAAGATGGAGGCATGTAGCTCAAGTAAGTTACCCGCAGTTTCTTCCTGCTTGGGAACTGAACCTGGGACTACATGTTTGCGAGACGAGAACCTTAAGCACACAACATAGGAATTCGTTTGTTGTGAGGGATTTTGTTTTTTTCATAGAGAGAACAAAGAGAGATAAGAGAATGAATTGTTTTGCCTTATGTACAAAAAACAATAACAACAACAACTACAGCAACAACTGTAACAAAAATAACAACAACAACGACAACAATAATATATAATAATAATAATAATAATAATAATAATAATAATAATAATAATAATAATAATAATAATAATAATAATAATAATAATAATAATAATAATAATAATAATAATAATAATAATATCTTTCATTCTCATCCGCTCTCAACAAAGACATTCCTTTCTTGAATAAACAATTTCCCTCACAATTATGTTTTACACCTGTTCAAACCCATCGACAATATCCGCCTAAAAACAATACAATTCAATATTCCTTTTTGTATTGTGAGATAAAAAGATAGAGAGTGAGAAAATGGATAGAAAAATGAAGATGGACAGACAACGAGAGAGAGAGAGAGAAGGTGAAAGTTAAGGAGAACAAAGAGAAAGTGACACGTACACAAAAACAGACAGACATTGAGATATATGGAGAGAGAAGAGAGAGATAGTAAGACAGACAGAGGACTATAGTGTACAAAAATAGAGATGAAAGGAGAGAGAGAGAGAGAGAGAGAGAGAGAGAGAGAGAGAGAGAGTCAGTCAGTCAGATAAAGACAGAATAAAAACGAGAGGAAAAAGAAACAATCGACTGATAAAGAAAAATAACTCATTAGAGAAAAAAAGATAGACTTAAAAAGAAAAAAGAAAGAAAGAAAAAGAGAGAGATAATAGGAAGGTCGACGTACGTACCTGGTGATGGCTGATGGAGAGCCAGTAACAGGAACAAGCAGCCATATTGACGCCAACACAGTGTAGGGGTCATGGCTGTCTTCTGTAATGGCGCCTCTTGGCTACATTTAGAGATGTGTTCTGTTGACCTGAATGAAGCTTTATTTGTTTTTGTTCCTCCTATATATACTGGAACTTGTTTTTTAATGCATGTTTCTTCTCAATGGTTAATGGTGTTGATTCTGTAATTTTTCACTATAATGACGCTCTTTCTAATGGTTTTTCCTCTTTTGTATTTGACTGGCTCGCGGTAGTTAATGGAGCACATTTAATTTGTCAAGTGACTTTATATTTTGAGTTAATGGCGTCGTCTCTTTACCTTAGTGGCAGTTTTCTAATGGTCCTTCCTGGTTGTATTTGATTTAATGGAGTTTGCTGTATCTTAATGTTACCCTTTTAATATATTTTACACCTTTTATATTTCTCAATTCAATGGCGTTTTTTTTTTCACTTGTTGAATGGTTCTGCATTTAATCAACTGTGTCTTTAATGGTGTTCACTGTTTATTATAATGGCATTGATTTTCTCGACTCATTGTAACCTCCACTTGATAACTAATGGCTCGTAGTGTTCATTAATGGCACTTACTGTTCTCCTTCCTTAACGACGTTCACATTAATGGCACTCGTCTAATGGTCCTCCCTTGGTTGCGCTTGACCAATAATCAGTAGCTAGTGCCATTCAATTTATCTCCTTATTGGCATCTTGGTATTAGCTGGCACTCTCTAATAATGGCTCTTTATTCTATCTCGTAATGGCACTTGAGTCAGTACTTAAGTGTCGTTGTCTTTAATGGCACTTGTCTTATGGCACTGATCCTCTCCTGTGTCCTCGGGGATGTATGTGTAGTCTTAAAGGGCCATTACTCCTTTACTCGTCCATGGCTGTGAATATACGAGGGATATTCACTCTGGCTGTGTAGGTGCACTCGTGGCTATTCACTCTGGCAATTCCCCTCCCTGCATTCGATGCTATTCAAGATTAATACTTAAGGGATATTCACTCTAGCAATCTTACCCCAACTCATAGTAATACTTGAGGATTATTGACTCTCCTTCGTTACTATTCACTCTGGCAATCCCCTCTCCGTACTCAATAATATTCAGAGATATTCACTCTCCCTGTATACATGCACTCGTAAATAGTTGTACTCAATACCGCTGAATAGTAATCGAACTGAACTCGCCCTGCATTCAGCACTAGACGAAATATAACCAAGGTAAGAGATCAACAAATCCTAAGTGATATACAGTATATTATTCACGCTAGCTGGTCTTCTCTGCCTCTTTGTTGACATATAGCTGGTTTAATTAGCGTTTATGTATAATTCTTTTTAATCTGAGGTATTATGTAATATTTTTCACAGCTTACATCCATATCTACCTGTGATAACTAAATATACCCTCGTATGTTATTACATGCGTATATTTCATTAATGTCCACTTATCTCATAGTTTTATCCCCCGAAGAATTTATCAACAATCTGGTTCACCTTTTACCTGCATAATTTAACCCATATCATTGAAAAACTGGTATATAAACTCTGTGACAAATATATTAAATTTACTTGGTATCTAACTTGTAGTAACCAATTATCTATTTCATGGTATTCTTTCGTTTTCATTTTCTTTCTAATTAAAACAAAAATGGGTTTACTCTCATTAACAAGATGCGCTCAGGTGAATGTCCTTTGTTGGTCCTATCCTTTTCGTCTTTCGTTTTTCTGTCGCATTGAACTATTTTTTTCTATATTTATTCTTTTCTATCTGATTCTGTTGAGTTTTAAATCGAATTATTAATGGGGATGATTATTATCTTTTTTTTTTACAAGTCTATGTATGTCTGTGCAGCTTTGTGTGTGTGTGTGTGTGTGTGTGTGTGTGTGTGTGTGTGTGTGTCTACTTAAAATACGAGCTTAAAAAATCTCAGTTGTAAAAGCGCAGTGATACATTATAAGATTAGCACTCTCTCTCTCTCTCTCTCTCTCTCTCTCTCTCTCTCTCTCTCTAAGTCACTTATTTTAAGTCTTATTTCTTTGTTTGACTGTCTGTTTATCGAGAGTTATTTTCACCCGAGTCTTTGTAAATAGTCAACCTCTTTTAACAGAACTGATCATCCCGGTACAATATTTAATTACATAAACTGTATCGTCTGTATTAATCCCAGTAGCAGTCTCTCATTTTTTGTCTAGTGATAATTTTTTATTCGATTATAGTTCTCTTAATTATGAACTGGTGTAATCGATGTGGATTATATCAGCTGTTATTGTCTGTTATGTATAATTAATGTGGATTATAGACGCTGGCAGTGTCTTACGTTGACTGTCCGTAACATAATTGCCCTTTAAACAAAACTCGTTTTTTCCCAGTAATTTAATTTTAATTATTTTATTTTATTGATGAAAGTCTCTAGTCGTATACATATAACATGGATTATAGACACTCATGCTTTTTTAGATTCAGTGTTTATATTATACATTACTTAAATTCCGTCTTGTATAATCTGTGCTTATTATTCAGTGTTTTTGAGTAAGATATTATGTTTGTTTATATAAATAGAATTGTACACTTACGTTAATTCAAGGTCGCACCATAAACCATCATTTATCATTACAAATTTTTATGTTATTAATCACCATGATATTGCCAAGCTGAACCTATATCAAGAAAACATTATTATTATTATTATTAATATTATTATTATTATTATTATTATTATTATTATTATTATTATTATTATTATTATTATTTCCTTCGTATTAATTATATCACTTATTAATTAAAAATATTACTCTTACATATATTTTTTTTACTTTTTTGACCAAATTCCCTCCCTTCATAAAATGATATTGTCTCTCAAAATCAAAATTCTCTTTGTTCATTAAAAAAATCACAAAGAACAATTCTAATCCTTCAAATACTAAAAAAACAAAACTAGTCCCAGATGCTCCCTTTAATAAATACCTATAAAACCCACGAATAATCAAAACAAAATCCATATAAAAGAGGTGCACACTACCCACATACAACACAAACCCAATATTTGGACCACCACCCACTTCAGTTCCACCCACCACACCATCAATACCTGGCTGAAAATTGCGTTCCAGAGTAGATTAAGAATATAAACTACCCTTATCTTAATCCTATATACCGATACTCTTTTTTTTTACCTATTGAACGGATTAACGGGAGAATCCATAGAGTTTAATCGTATTGGTGGTGAGAACAGAGTATGGATTTTATCACCGCTTATTTTAAACTCGTGTATTTTGTGTAAATTGAGAGTAATAGAACTGTATTATGTTTCTGTAAAATGTTGCTTGTACAGGGATTACCTATTGGGGCGTCAGGGAGTATCCAGTCACGTAGAAATAAACCGTATAAACACTGGCATTAACGTCTCAGTTACATCTCCGTTATATTGTTTAGGCAGATCGTATTTTTGTGTATAGTGAGATTACACGATCACTGAATAATAAGACTTTCTATATTCCGTTTGTGAAAATTATAGGGAATTAATGGGGATATATTATTATCCATGAAGAATAGAGTCAGTCTTGTAGGTTTTAGTATCAATGTTATAGTTGCATTACTGCTGTTAAGGACAAACTCATACTATCAAGTAAAGTGAGTATAAAATCATCACATTATAAGACTATATAATATTGTTTATAAGAATTTATAGGCCTACTCCTATACTGTAGATAACAGAGTCGCATATATCAACACTTCCAAGCCATATCCTCTCTGTCTATATCAGATAGGAATAGAAAATCACAACCATAGGCGTATGATCTTACTGGTACAACGACTATAGAGAATATTGTGAGGGTGAATCCACAGAGAATTGATTCAGTCGTATAAACAGTCTGACCAAAACACCGCTCACTCATTAATTCTCAATACATGAACTAATTCCTCAGTAAATTTCTTCCCAAATCGCCGAAGTATAAGACTGTGTAATGCCGCTTGTACCAGAGTGGAACTGTAAGTAATATGGATATCATCACTTATTAAGACAAAGTTGTTTTCTTATTTAAACTTAATATAAACTTATATGATACTTAAGATCATGGGGGGAATATACCAGTCGTATTAGTTAGTAAGGACAACGCATCGTAAACCAGCAGGAAGTAAATGAGGGAGGGAGGGGAAGAAGAGAGAGAACGCCCGTGGCAGTCGACACACACACACACACACACAACGCAGCCTTCCCCCGAACACCACCCAGCGAACACTGAGTCGAGTGCCTGGCTGTGAGCTAACTGGGGTCTCGCTCACAAACTCTCCCTCACCCTCTCTCGCCCACTAACACCACAGCTCCGCCTCCTCCCTCTGTTTCCTCCCTCCTCATCTCTCACTTTTCACTCGTTACACTGGCATGATGGGTGGTGATGGATGAATGTCTGTCAGTACCCTTTAATATGTACATTTAGTGTGTAAATTATTGCACTTCTTTTAACGTAACTACGGGCCGCATTTAACCGAAACTAAAAGCAGGGACTTAACCAAACCTAACCTAAGCCTAACCTAACCTAATCTAACCTAATCTAATATAACCTAACCTAACTTACGTCTGACCTAACTCACCCTTTGTCATGACCTAAATTGACCTAACTAAAGCCGCAGTTGTATTACCAAATTGCAAATCTGTTTCCGAGTCTGGGCTTAGTTTTACCAATGTTCCCTGTTTTGTGACGTGTAACTGTATCTATTTGTTTGTTTGTTTGTTTCTGACACTGAAGGGAACGCAGTGAATAATAATGTCACCTTGTTGAGTTCCGGCTAAGCTTCCCTCGTTACTTTACATTTGGTATCTGATCTTGGGTTATATATGCGACTGATATATAACTGGTTAACGTTGCCATTTCATTATAAGTTATATCGGATTAATAACACGAATATCCACACTGTAATTTAATGAAATACTTAAGTAAATGAAAGTTAGCATCCCGAGGCATCCCCTACCACCCTTCATCACCTAGCGTGACCTTCAAGCAGATGTCAGTTGTTTTCTAAAGCGTCTGGGGAACGTTGTTCACTTTTGTACCTCTGGCGTCTGTATCTGTGTACAATTCTGTTCGCTGAAGCTTAGTAAGGGCTACAACGGTGTTAAACTGCTCTAACTGATGTCCATTAGTGTCTGTGTATATCTCAACCTTCTCTTCCCTTCTCTCTTCTCTATATATCTTTCTCTTCCTCTATATATCTCTCTGTTTCTCAACTTCTCTCTGTTTATCACAATCATCTATCTATCCCGGGTGTTTTTTCTTTCATTTATAACCGAATACTAAGGTATAATTAATATTTATGTGTGTTTATTTACAAATATATAAAACATACACATACAGATAAATATACACACGCTCATACACCGAGGGGATATAATACAGGGTAGTGTGGCCGGCCTACCAGACTCCCGCAGGCCAACACGGTACTATCAGGCAGAGAAAAGTGGGGAAAAGTCTCCAAGATTTTAATATTAATGAGAAAGACGCGTGCCAGAGTAAACATGGGAGCAGATAACGCTGATTTAGCTCCTTCGCCTCGCTACACACCCAACATTCTCTGAACCTGAACGAGAGACTCCAGTTCACCCTTGTACGAGACTCGACGTTCAGCTAGAGTCGACTATAGTTTACCTTGTACGAGTCTAGTTCACTTTGTAAGAAACTTTACTTTACGTTGCAGTAGATTAGTTTACGTTGTAGAAGACTAGTTTACGCTATAGTAGACTAGTTTACGTTGTAGTAGATTAGTTTACGTTGTACTAAACTAGTTTACGTTGTAGTAGACTAGTTTACGCTATAGTAGACTAGTTTACGTTGTAGTAGACTAGTTTACGCTATAGTAGACTAGTTTACGTTGTAGTAGACTAGTTTACGTTGTAGTAGACTAGTTTACGTTGTACTAGACTAGTTTACGTTGTAGTAGACTAGTTTACGCTATAGTAGACTAGTTTACGTTGTAGTAGACTAGTTTACGTTGTAGTAGACTAGTTTACGTTGTAGTAGACTAGTTCACGTTGTAGTAGACTAGTTTACGTTGTAGTAGACTAGTTCACGTTGTAAGAGGTTAATTTCCGTTCTAGTAGACTAGTTCACGTTGTAAGAGGTTAATTTCCGTTGTAGTAGACTAGTTCACGTTGTAAGAGGTTAATTTCTGTTGTAGTAGACTAGTTCACGTTGTAAGAGGTTAATTTCCGTTATAACGAGAAGTGTTCAACTTGTACAAGAGGGAGACGTGTTAGACTGGACGAGTATTTGCGTAGTGTGAGGATGGTGTCCAACTTGCACTAGAGGGAACATTTTTCAGGCTGTACCGGGTCTACTTCAGGGGAAAGAGTCTTTTTCAACCTGAACGAGATAAAGATTTTTTGTTCAGGCTTTACGAGAGTCTTATGCAGGTTGTAACTGTTTTGGATGTGGGTCTCTCTCTCTCTCTCTCTCCTATTTTTTTTTTCTTTTCGTTCACTATAGGAAAATATATTTTGATCTTGAAATAAAAGTTAAAAGATAATCCCAGTAAAAAAATAAAATAAAAAAACAAAAAAAACAGGTGCAGGGATTTATTGATAAAACTTGGAACACAGAGGAAGACTGGAAACTAAAACGCTGCAACTCATTGATACAACACAAAAAACACAGCAGAACTCTAGTACAACACAACACTGAACAAAAAGAACACAATGAACACATCACTGAACAAAAAGAACAGAAAACACAGCAGGACTTTAATACAACACAGCACTGAACAAAAAGAACACAATGAACACAACACTGACCAAAAAGGAACACAGCACCCACAACAAACTCCTGTGTTGTAGCTTGACATTAGATTCTGTCCTGTAATTCGTTCAGCGATTTATTTTTATTTTTAGGGTTTTTTTCCCGGGTCGTATTACACTACCAGATGTGACTTTAACTCCGGGTATTGTTCTAAACTCGCCTGTTTTCACTCTCTGGATAGTTTGTTGATGGTGTGTAGCGCGTTAATCCCCCCCCTCCTTGCCCCCCACTCCCCTCCTCCTCCTCCTCCGACTCACTTTCCTCCTCCTCTACCCCCACCTACTCACCCCTCTATTCCCTCTCCTCCTACCCTTTCCTGTTCTTTTCCCTTCCCTCTCCCTCTTTTACTCATCTTTTTCCCTCCCTTTCCCTCTCACCTTTCCCCCTCCCTCTCGCTCTCATCTTTCCCCTCCCTCTCCCTCTCCGACTCATCTTTCCTCTCCTCTCACCTCCCCTCCCTCTCCTTCCCTCCACCTCTCCCTGTTCTACTCCTACCTCTCTTCTCCCCCCCTCCTTCTGCTCCCCTTTTCTCCTCTCCTCCCCGTCAACCACATGAGATAAAAATTAACAATGAACAAATTTTATATTACTAGTGTATTCTAGGTTATAGTATATGATTTTTTTTCCCATCCGAGTATTATTGTTATTGTTTCCGAGTTTGATTTTCATTTAAGCAACCATTTAGCAAACGTAATATTGATTAAGATTATGTACGTCACGTTACTAGGGTTCTAAAGGTTAAAAGTTACCTTCAAAGTACTATGTAAACAGAGCAGGTAACAGGAAGAGTCAGTATTGATAAACAGACAGACAGACAGACAGACAGACAGACAGACAGACAGACAGACAGACAGACAGACTAACACACAGAGA